GTTCTTTTTCGGCTTTCAGATAGTTGTCCAACTGCAAGATTACCACCACTGCTGTCTTTCACTACTAGTTCGGGTTTAGCACTATCATCTGATGATAGGTGGGCTACACGCTGATCAATTACACTGACTGTCTCACAAGTATGCACACCTTCTGGAACTGCATCTGCGTTCAATTCTACTTCACGTTGTAGTTGTACAGAACCTTTATTTAACTTAGCAGTAGTAGGCATATCCCTCATCTCATCATGATCAACCAAAGACAAATCTGCACTATCATGATCATTATCACGAATATTCACTTTACCGTCAACTTCATCATTTTCAAACTCTTTAATAACAGAAGTAGACAATTTTGGTTCCTCCTCACAAATCATTAAAGGTTTTATATCTTCACTCTGACTAGTTATACTTTGTAAACTTGTGGAGTCAGAACTGCACTCTGAAGCAGTAACTCTATTCTGTGACACTCTATTCAACAACGGCTTACCAGTTGCAACTACAGACTTCTTCACCGCACCGTTATCGTCACACAATTCGGAGTCAGGTCTGGAGTTTACATTTAGCTTATCACTGAACTTGCTCACCGGTTCACAGTTCACTTCTGTATGCACCTCTTGCACACGTGTAAAACAAAACCGTGTTTGTCTTGCATCTTGTAACTTATCTGTTGAGGATGTACTACGAAACCTGTTACACTCACTAAGTTTATATGCATTACTAGACATCATGGAGCTTTCTCGATAACCACCTCTCTGAGGCCTACTCGTCATCAATGATTGCATTTTGATCTCAGACTGCTCTATTCTAGGGGTGAGATGTAATAGACTGGCGGACTTGCTCATAGATTGATTGACACTAGTATTTACCAGTTTCAGGATATCATCAAACTTTGGCTCGATACCCTCATCCTCCATACGGGAGCTCATCTTCACCCACTTCCTTTGCAGTCGAGTAGGTAGACGTCTTGCTATTACTTCTAGTACAAAACTCGAGTTGAGGTCACCCGTGCGATTCATCGAAATCATTGCATTCTTGTAAATTAGCAAATTATCTAAAAACTCAGTGAGTGCCTGTGAGTCATCCTGTAATTGACCACCATTACCCTTAACAGCCTCGAATAATTTCCCTGCAATCATCGAAGGTCTTCCAAACCTTTGACGTAATATGCTCATGGCCTCGTAGTAGCCCTCTTTTGGCTTCATAAACTTACAGCACTGTATAGCTCTTGCAGCATCTCCAGTGCAATATCTCATCAAATACATTAGCTTCAATTCATCACTTAATAGAAAACCACTCAACATGATCTCAAACTCCTTTACAAATTGTAAATAATCAGCTGGGTTTCCATCAAAACACCGTGGTTCTAATTTAGGGAGTTTGATGTTCCTATTATCCCTGAACGGTGAAACAATAACATCAACCATGTCATGCTTAACATCAGACACATCGTTACAATTAACAAACAAGTCACCATGACTTACTTTCCTGTTTGTATCCAAGACACTCTGTCCCTTCTTTGACCCAGGCATTGTTGAACTTGACCCAATTCCAAAAAAGTTCCAGATATCGCTTGTTCAAAGAGGACTTGACCGGCACCAGGAAAAATGAACGGCGACTATCCAAACTTTCACCAACTGTTTGAATCCGCCAGATCTGTTTCTATCGTCAGAAACTGTCAATCACGTCTCATAAACCGTTAATGCCCAGCTCTCGCTGCGCTCGGGCCCACGCTGTTCTTCGAAGATTTCGGAAACGCTTAGTTATAACGGACGCAAAAACCAAAACACCGATCTGCCGCGTGATATTTGTTTATTGTTACACCAACATATAAAAGGAATAAGCGAACTAAGGTCTGAAAACAAATATTACAATAATAAATCATTGTATTACTTCTGACGATATTTTACTCTTCTTTCTGAACAGCGACCGATGAGACGATGACTGTCGTATTGATGCCTCCGCGAAGATTGGGGAAGTTGATTTTAAGCAAACAACCAAGAATTGATCGTTCAATCTTCAACTCCATTGACACTCCCCGTCTCAGCAAAAAAGGGATCCAACCCTTTTTTCCTTCACGACCAATGCACGTTGACTTGGATGCCATTGCGAGAACCTGGGTCACACGGACAGAGCTGAAATGGAAAACAAACAGAAAAGCCAACACACCACAAGCATACCCACAGCACAATCTCACACATCGCTGACGACCTGCGCCTCCAGACAGAGACCTCCTCTTGACATCTTCCAACACAATCGCCACTTACTAGAATGACTCTTGCAGAATGCAAAGTGACCATGGCAGGACCTCACGATACTCTACGCACATCCTCTTAATTACTCACTACCAATTACCATTGAAATCGCTTGTCACTCATTCTGTCTCAGTTCTAGTAGCGGTGACGCATGCGAGCCTCAGTCGTTTACACTCTTTCTCCCCGGCGTGATGACAGCTTTAATAGGGGAATTTCTTTTATAAACTCACTTAAAATTCTTGATACTCTATGTAGCATAACCAGTTTACATCGCCTCTGGCTTAGTAGACGTGATGTCCGGCTGGCTGAATGGCTGGCTAGCTGTCGACCAAGAGACGTGTGTACTGCTCAGAAGAAGTTCGCTCTGTCCTTTTTTATGGTTGACTGTGAGTCACTAGTGACCATTCAGAGTGGAAGACATGAAAAGCCTAGCTAGCTGTCTCCGATCATAGGTGTCTGAGTTCTCTCTCCCGTGTTAGTTGATAGCGGTAATAGAATGAGTAATATTGAGGTTAGGCATCAGTGGAGTGCTAGGTGAGGAGGGGAAATCAACAACAGACGAGGTTGTAAAATTACACTGATTAAGGTGGCTAGAACACGTGTTACGGATGCATTCCTAGCCATCCATTGCTTTCCTAGACCACGCTCAATGTTAGCTGAGATAGGATCGATCAGTTTGGAAAGGAGCTAACAAGCCAAAACATGGTTCCTTCAGTCAGTAAAATCCACAACAGTTAGTTTAAGCCATGCATATAGGAAGATGTAGACCTCGTGGTTGGTGTCCTCGGGACGGTAAACACCGATGTCTGGAGACAATTATTAATATGGTTCGAAATCTGTTTTTACTTTCTTCTCTTGCTTTGTGTGTCCTAAGTGAAGTGTGGCGACCCGAACTGCTGCACATCGGTGCAAAGTTCTATGTTGAAAATAGAGAGACAGACAGATGAAGCATAACATGGTGAATAAGTAGAACATGGAAACGTGTTATACTCTAATTGTAATCCTTACCAATTCAATTCTTTCAAGCCAAACCGTTTTTGATTCTTGTTCAACTATACTTTCATCACCATAATAATAATAATAATAATAATAGCTTTATTCCAAAAACAGTACTCATGATACAGCAAGGAATTTTCAGCATTCAGTACAATATTGCATCTAATTTACCCAAAAACGACAAAAAAAAATTAAAAATACACAATACATAATAGTAATAAAACGATTGTTGTAGCAGCTGCGTAGCAAAATACTGTGTGCCATACGGAGAAAAATATGTATAAAGTACAAAATTGTAGTAATAATAGTAATACCAACTAATATAAAATAGCAGAGTAACGATTTAAACGATAGAAAGTGTAATACCATAAAATACAGAAAGATGAACGATAAAAGGGTCGATTCACTGTGCTAATTACATAGTAACTTGTAAGTTTCACGTCTAACAGAGTCTTCGTCACATAAAGTACGCGCTAAATAGGGTATTGTAGAATTTCTATACTTAGTAGTACGAGCATATATCTTTTTATATTGACTTCTCGTCCTACCTGATGAGATACAAGGGGACAGGTGTGAATAAAGGGGGTGCAGAGGGTCTGACATTATAGCCTTTGCCCATTTCGTACAGGAATTTATATGCCTCTCGACTATAGTATTAGCGAGCTCATGCAGTGGCAGACCACAAGCTCTACTCACAGCATTTAATACTCTTCGTAATATGATATAATCTTTTTTGAGCAGCCCAGGAAAGATTAATGGAGAGCAGTAGAGTACAATAGGTAAAATACAGGAGTTTAAAAATTGCAAAACTAAAGGTTGGTTGATACCTGATTGTCTTAACTTTTTAATGTAGAAGGTAAGACGAAACATTTTCTTAGAGATAGATAAGATATGGGATGACCATGAAAGGTCAGAGGAAAAAACTAGTCCAAGGTATTTAATACTTGATTTGGTTTCAATTTCCGTGCCATCTATGCTACAGGGATCATGAGAGTTAACTAGTTCAAGTAAGTCACGTCGATGCTTGAAAGTAAAGTCAAGCACCTGACATTTGGAAGGATTTAACATAAGACCATTTGACTTGGACCAGTTGTTGATGTCTAACAGAAAGCTATTAAGTTTGGAGCTGTCAGACTGGGAAGTGATAGGCAGTGATACAGTCAGATCGTCTGCATATTTAACAAAGTTAGTTTCGTTTGAATGGGGCAGGTCATGTAGGAAGAAAGAAAAAAGAAAAGGAGAGAGGACAGCACCTTGTGGAACACCGGATTTTGTAAGCGAGGTAGAAGAAGATTTGCCGTTATATACAGTATACTGCATTCTATCAGAAAAATAGGAATGCAACCAACTCTTAGCCCAGGATCCTGTTTGTGTCAATGATAGCTTATTTAATAAAAGGCCCCTAGGTACAGAGTCAAAAGCAGATGTGTAGTCTAAGAAAGCACTACGAACATATTTAGCACCTTTGTCTAAACAAGAGACAACATTGTGATATAAGACAACCGCAGCATCCAAGGTACTTCTACCATGTTTGTATGCAAATTGTTTAGGATCATTAAAAGGTTTCAAAGCGGGTTCAAGACGAAGTAAAAGTAATTTTTCCATCAATTTTAAAAAGGGGGAAGTAATTGCAATAGGCCGAAATTTAATATCAGAACCAGAAGATGGTTTTGGTATAAGGATAATTTTAATGTTTTTCCATGCAAAAGGTAGAACGTTACCGGAAAAAGAGGCATTAAAAATGTTAGTAAGAGGATAACACAAAATATCAGCACAATTCCTGAGGACAATGGCAGGTATGCCGTCAGGACCAAGGCTTTGAGAAGGCTTAAGAGACCGGAGACATTTAAGCACATCAAGGGTATTAAAACCACTAAAGTTATTGTCAATATGATTTGTATCATTTGGAAGGGTATCAACAGAAGAGCGTATGAAAGATTTATTAAGAGTATCAACATTAAGAGATGGAACAGAAATACATCGCTTACAGTTAGTAATTTCTTTGAAAAGTTTCCATAAATTAGAAGGGGTTTTACATGATAAAAATCTTTGATTATATAAAACACTTAGTCTTTTTATTTCCAGTTTTATCAGCATGTTTAACTTTTTTACACCAGGCTTATCATTAGTTTTGAACAACAGTTCTTTATTTCTACGTAGCTTTTTGAGATATGGCGAAGATAAGCGATCAAATCGGATGAATAATGTTTCTTTAGGACAACACATTGCGAAACAGAATTTAAGATAATCGGTAGTGTTTGTGATTGTTTCATCTAATGTTTGTTCTGTAAATAAGTCCCAGTTAGTGTCTTTCAACATGCATCTGAGCTTGTCTAGGTTGTCTTTTGAGTAGCATCTCCGTTGAACTTTACTGTAGAGGTGAGAGAGGACACCTTTGTGTGATTTGGAATATATTTTAGGCAGCACACGTATGATGCAGTGGTCAGAATTAAGTAGAGGAGCACGTTTGCGAGCTTCATATATACCAACATCATTGATGAATACTAGATCCAGTTTTTTACCAAGACGAGTAGCAAAGTTAACAATATTGTCATGACCAAGTGATATAAGGAAGGGTATTCATCAGTTTCATCGAAGAATTCTACCTGAAACATAGAGAAACGACGTTGTGGTAAATGATAAGATGCTCGAAAACTGTAAGAAGTGTTATGTAGTAAATCAAAGCCATCTTTGATCCAAGTTACTAATATGAGAGGGTCTGGCTAGTCCCTAGCCTAATCACTAGCAGTAAAAAAAGTAATATACCCTAACGCTGAATAGGTTTTAATTGTTAACATAGACTGAAAGCTGAAGCTGAAAAAGACCTGTTAATTTGAAGCTTTCTTTTGCCCTTTTTTAACAATACCGCTGGATTGTCTGAATAGATTGAGATTTCGCTTCAATGCAAAAATTGTTCAAAATTGAATTAATCGGATTACAAGAGAATGGTTAGTGAAAAAAGAATATTCTTTCCAATAACCCACCCTTAATCGTGTTCTACAGTTATATATCCATGCATAATAGTGAATGAATGAATTAGTGTTATTAACAACATTAGTGTTGTCGTTTGAATAACATCGAATCAATCATAATATCAGTGGATTACAGTTCAATAGCATCAAGATAACAATACACACTGAATATCGGAAAATTAGGAAAGATAATAATACATATTCATGATTTGCAATTAATACTGTTCTCTGAGCTGGTTGGTTTAGTTGCGGAGCTTTCGTCGTCCTTCTTGACAGCATTCCCTATCAGCGCAATATTTAGCATAAAGTGAAATGATTTAAATTTCTTCAGGAGTGATATATTTGCGCCTCCCGGTAACCATCTTTACATATGCATTGACAGTTTTCTATTGACTTGGATTTTAAACTTTCTGGTCACCTGATTTACTTTTTATTAGTTGGTACGTTTAGTCTATATTAACGCGTTTGTTGATTGCATTTTCGTTTGAGTACCAGGCTTCTAGGAATTTCCTGGAACTTTTGTTGTTTCCTCTGTTTAAGATTTCGACATTATCCCAATCAAATTGATGTCCGTAATTGTCTATATGCATTGATAGTAAAGAATATATATCGTTTCTTTTCACGGCTGATTTGTGTTCTTGGATTCTAATTCAAAGGGAACGCTCACTTTGGCTGATGTAATGCCTGTTACAGTTCATACAACTTATTTTGTAAATGGTATTAATTTTATCCCCATTTTCTGTTGGACCTTTCAGTTTGCAAAGTATCGAATTAAGCGATTTGACTGGCTTGTGTACTATTATTATTTATTATTATTATATCCTTCAATTCATAGAGGAACATAAAGCTTCAACCGCCCAAGTCTCCATTGCCTTCTGTTTTCTGACAACATTTTCACTCCGCTCCAAGTCTGCCCACATGCTTTCATCTCCTCCTCACATGACCTCCTCCAAGTCAACCTACACTTGCATTCACGACCAACTCGCCACCCGCTTCCCTTTCAGCCTGGTTCCACTCGAGCAATGGCTTGTCTAGTGATGTCACTCACTTGATGGTTTCCTCAGCGTATGGTCATCCAATCCATCTCCATTTCTTCCTGCCTATTTGTTTCACAGTCGGTTCCTGCTGTGTTGGTTGGTTCGCTCATTGCCAGAGATCCCACCCTGTTGGTGATATTTTCTGGCCGGCTATCTGATCTTGAGTGGTATTGAGTGAAGATGACTGTTAATGAAGGTTTGAAGTTTGTTGGAGATGCTCTTCATGACGCACAGTGCAAGTCTCTGATCCGTATAGCGAGTAGCAATGACTGCCTTCACATTGGAGTTGAAAATCCGGATCTTACTTTTGATGGTGAGTGATGTTGACCTCCACACAGACTTAAGAGTAATGAAAGGTTGTCTTGCTTTTCCGATTCTGGCTTTGATATCCTCGTCAGTTCCGTCAGCCTGAAGTTGAAACGATGCTTACCATGTAGGTGGGTGGGTAGGTGAAGGAGGTTGTTTCTTTCAGGTTCCTCCCATTTATGCAGGCTGACTGTCGTCTGTTGTTGTTGTTTCTCTTGGTGTTGGGCAGGAATCCTCATCACCTACATCTGTTTTCTCTATGTTCACTTGAAGTCCTATCCTGTCTGGATGCTTCTTGTGCCAGCTTGTTGCTTTCCACTTGCATATCTTCCAGTTTGTGGGAAATCAGACATATATGCCACATCGGCGAAGTCCACATCCTCCAAGTTCTATTTTTGTGTGAGTCCATTTTATGCCTGTTTCCTCACTGGCCGCTAGCTGTCTGTCGCATTATCCAGTCTACTGCAATCAGGAAGATCATTGGCGATAATAGACAGCCAGCTTGCCTCACTCCCGTCCTCACTTCGAAGGCTTCCGTAAGTTTCCCGTTGTGGATTACTTGGAGGCATGCAGCATTGTCGTACAACTAACTGTTGGATGAGATGTATAATTGTCGATGGGAGCCCTTGGTAGTAGCGAAGTACTTTTCAAAAGACCCCTCGACCGACGCTGTCGAAGGCCTTTTCAAAGTCGATGAAGTTGAGTGAGGTAGAGAGGTGACTGCCATTCCAAGCTTTGTTCAATGATGATCCGTAGTGTGGCGATCCGGTCAATACATGACTTGTTTCTCCTGAATCCAGCTTGTTCCGGTCGGAGTTTTTCATCCAGGTTGGCTTGTTTGATTCTCTCCAGGTTGATGGGGCTTAGTATTTTGCTTGGGATGGACAGGAGCATAATTCCACACCAGTTTTTGCATTGACTTAAGTCTCTTTTCTTGGGTAGTTTGAATAGGTATCCTTTTTTCCAATCCTCAGGTACCTTGCTCTCTTTCCACACCTTTTCTAGCAATGGGGTCATAAAGTCCGCTGTTGTCTTTGTTCTGCTGGGATTCCATCTGGTCCTGCTGCTTTTCCAGCTTTTAGCACCTTGATTACATTCAGGACTTCTGATTCGTTGGGGGGTGTCGATGTTCACTGGTAGATCTGCTTCCGTTGTTGGTATTGTTGGGCGCGTTGTAGGTGGCGGACGATTTAGAAGTCTTTTCAAGTTTTCAGCCCAGTGTTTTCTTTGTTCCACCTCTTTGGTGATTGACTTTCCATTGTCATCCTTCACTGACTTAATCTGTGTCGAACTTTTGCCGGAAAGGTGCCTAGTTGTTTGGTAGAGTGTGGCGAGGTCTCCTTTGCCTGTAGCTTGTTCTGCTTCACTTGACATGGCTTCATAATATTTTCTTTTGTCTTCCCTGGCGCTCTTCTTCACTCTTTTGTTCAGCGCATTGTAGCTTGCATTCAACTCCTGTTTTTGTTGCTCGTCGGTGCACTGGATAATCTTTTGTTTCACTATCTCTCTCTCTCTTCTATTAGTTTCCAGGTGTCCATAGTGAGCCACTGTTTGTCCTGCATCTTCTTTCTGCCAAGAACTTCCATGCAGGTTTGACTCCACACCGTTTTCAAGTTGTCTCAGTGCTTTTCGACGCCGATCTCTTCGCTAGTGTTGATTTGTGTCTCAGCTTTGTCCCTGATGTTTGCAATGAAGATGTCCTTTGTAGCCTGGTCCTTCAGTTTTTGAGTGTTGAACTTGGCTTGTGGTCTATCTGCAGCTCCTGTTTCCCTGAAAGCTTTTAATTTGATTTGGATTGTCCCTTGTACGAGGTAGTGGTCTGAGCCAATGTCTGCTCCCCTTCTTACTTTTGTGTCCAGTAGGCTGCGCCTCCACTTCCTTGAGATTGAGATGAAGTCAATTTGGTTTTTGGTTTGCTCATCTGGTGACACCGATGTAGCCTTGTGGATATCTTTGTGTTTGTATACGCTGTCACCAATCACTAGTTCATTGAAGGCGCAGAAGTCGGCGAAGAGTTCTCCATTTTCATTCATCTCTCCGAGAGCTTCTCTACCCATGATAAGTTCCCTTCCTGTGTTGTCTGGTCCCAGTTTGGCGTTCATGTCTCCCATTAGTATTTTAATGTCACCAGCTACTTTATGATTACCACAATTACATGGTGAAATACCCCAATCTCTTATTTTATTTGCTGTCATTCAATATGCTTTATTCGCACTCCTTAGATAAAGTAGTAGAATCGGGTCGCTTATTGAATATAGCTATGACAATAGGTTTTTATGAATTTACCACTTATATGAGTCGGATTTAATCCTTTTACACCGGTTACAGGTATATTTTCTTATAAATGCGTAATTTAAGGCGTAGCGCTCTTATGACTAATCGCACAAGATATAATTCGAGGCTATTTCAGTACATTAGAATATATGTGTTTAAATACTAGTTCACTTTTCATCCTGCCTTTTGAATGACTCAACAACACACCTTAGAGCATCAATCCTTTTTCATAAAATATTCAGAAGATTAATTCAAACAAAAGTTATTAATACTCTGGTTGACATGGTTTCTGAATAACGTCAATGTCTAAAGTATATGATTAAATGGAAAATTTTATCACGGCAATCTATTCAGCTTATATGAACGACTGACTCACTTTGTGTTTATTATTATTATTATTTCCAGTATCAAATTGAAGTGTATTGGAATACTTTATTTTTGGCATAGACAAATACTCATCTTCAACTTTATTTTTATTTAGTACACTTGAATTTAACATTTTACAGGCATTCTCTACTTCCAATCTTAGATACTGATTGGCTTGTTTAAGCGCTTTCACTCTAGCCTCAACTGAATCAGCTGAGTTCTCAGGGCTGTTAATATCACAGTCGGTGAATTTTTCTTCGTCCTGATCCCCAGGTGAGAAATGAGACGTTTTCACTTGTTCTGAAGATTTCGGTCTACTACTGAAAAAAAAGAAAAGAAAATAACATATGTACTGTTAGTATTTAGTAGTTTTTGGGAGGAAATAATTTATTCATAGTAGATTTATTGTTTCGCTGGGGTTTTCTTTTGATCGTGAGTCATTATTGGCTGAAAATCTGCTAAAAATCATAAGCTACTACTGGTTCATTACTGCGGTACTCTCTACTATTTTAGGACTCGTGAGCTAGATAAACCTGATTGTCAGTGAGTTTGTGTGTGTGTGTGCCTGTGTTTCCACTGTGACTCAATTCATTTTTTGTGAGACGAATATGAATTAGAATAATTTTTCTATTCTTGCGATGTCCGACCGAAATATTCGTGGATAATCGATGCGTCTCATTTCGGCATATGATCTCCTTGAAAGGTTTATGAAGTGATGAGTGTTAGGTTCATGTATCAGTGGTGATACTCGGCCGAAATGTGTGTCCTGGAATCCACCAGTGACAAAGATTAGACAGATAATCTTACTATTGTTGATATTTAAACGCAGAAAAATTTTGGTGAAATACGGCGCCAAGATGACTTGCTACGCAATAATAATAAAACAACATAGATTAAAAGTAAAAGTGTAGGTGCAGAGAACGGATAAAGAACTTCATCTGGAAGGAAAACAGTCATACTCAACAACTGCAAACAACATCGGTCAATTATCGTCCGAGAGGGAAGAAAGAAGAAAATTGCAGCACGTTCGCCCTTCACTACGATTCTTGGCCATATCTAATAGCGTTCCGAGTCACCGATTGGAGCTATCTGTCGGACTCCAACTGGGAGTTGTGACGCACCAACTGATGATAACCTAGCACAAATACCCTTCATCTCACGCCACACATTTTCAGCTGGGTAAGTCAGGTTTCAGAGGCGTAGAGCAAGACAACCCGCACCGAAGCATTGTGCAATCGACCTCTTACAGACAAGCTAATGTCGCGATGACGCCAGAGGTGGCTCAAGTTGACGTATGCCACCCTTGATTTCATGATACGGTTGGAAATCACATCCGTCATCCTTCCGCCAGCACAAACAGCTATTCAGATACAAAAACTTATCAATAACTTCAAGGGGTTGACCGGCAAGAGTGAGTTCAAGTACAGGCTCTTACCAATCTTGTAACAGTACTTTGCACTTAGACGGCACAAGGCACACACTATACTTACAGATACCCTGCTTACCTTGTGACGAGAGCTGGCTGCAAACAAGCCAAAATTGTAGACAGCAATTTACGTCAATGTTACGTCCCAAATCAGGCTCATGAGAAAAACAATAACAAAGCTTAACTTCGAGAAACACACCAACCAATCTTAGCAGACTCAATGTGTGCAAATACGATTCGGGATATATGACTTAACTTTCTGAGAAATGGTCACAGGCAGTAGAGAATAACCTTCGGCAAGAAAACAACCAATCAGAAGACGCAGCTTCTTCACTGACAGTAATGTACATAAATATCTATAAATACACCTTGATTGTCTCAATAAACAATCTGTTGCCTGGCCCTTGTATTCTGTCGTTACAACCTGACTATATAACACCATTTAAAGAATAGCAATTAGAAGCTGATACATTCTCATTCTTGAACTTTCGGGTGTCAACATAAGACGATGAATAGTAGGTTAGTGTATTAGCTAAAAGCAGTATGGATGGTTAGGTGTTCATTTGTCATTTGTCCTATTGTTTGCTTACCATTGATTCAAGAACAACTAAAGGGATATATAACCTGGGAGAACAGGTTTAAGTTAGACGAGGACCTTATATTGATGTTGAAAAGTGTGCTGAAATTACAAGTCCTCTGAAGAGGTCAGTAATAACTTAATGTTTGATAGGATATCTAGATTTGAGACAGAATTCTCCTTCTTTTGACACTTATTCAGTCCTTGAGGTAAGCAAAGTTGACAGCGGTGGTAATATGACCTATTGAATGGTGATAACAAATAAATAACGTTGGTGATTCAGAACTTCCTTGCAACTAATTTATGACATGTTGTAACACCTAGTGCTTGTATACAATTAAACAAAATATTGAAGATTCGGAAATATTTCTGTAGACTTTAATGCACAAAACTGTCTCTCATTTTTGGCTAAAATATTCTAAGTAAACCATATAGTTTTTTCCTGTCTATAATAGAAAAGAATACACTTTTTATACGTTTTAGATAGACCTATTACGACTTATTGGACTTTGCTGAAAAAAAAATTTTCTTCACTGCAACCGTCCTATTTAATTATTTGCATCGATTAAAGATGGTCATTGGAAATTTCAAAAGATTGGACAGCTTCATCATCAGGTATTATGGAATATGTAAAGTTGTAATACTAAATTGAACGTTAATATTACAAAGTAAATGATTATGAATGACAACTAATGTACAGGAATAAAGTCTCATGAGTTATGTTCATATCAACTGCCATTCATATTGATTATAACTACCACAGATGGATGAGTGATCATGTCAAGGACAGGGAGAGATAAAAGGGGTTTTTTGGGGGTTCAAATTTATGTGCGTTTCGTATGTGTGTAAGTTAACAATTACGTTTAAGTAAGAGAACAAAAGGTTAGTTAATGAAACTGTAATGACAAGGGGTAGGGAAATTCATATGTACACGATGGAGGGCCATAACAGATGGGCTGATCTAAATTATTCGATGTTACTCTTTTTAAAAAAACCACTGGTGTTGTCAATAACAATCATTCTGTCATTATACCTCCCTTGGCCTATTAAGAAATAACCAAATGATGATTTCTACACCACCCCTTTCTTATATTTTCAACCCCTCTCTTATCATTCATTAATCTTATCACATTTTCATTATACACGTGTTTCATTAACTTCCCTTACAATCTCAGTCTAGCATTACTTAATCGGTTCATTTGTTTTTTCTTGGCCTTTATCGACTACTTCGTCTACCTCAAACTTGTTTGTTTAATCATGCTGTTTGTCGTTGTTCTTGTTATCACAGATTGCTTCACTTTTTCATCCTTATGACTGATAAAATTATTATTATTATTAATACAACTGTATAAACTGATGATGGGTCGGTGACATAGCGGTTAGGACGCTCGCCGACCATGGACTTGGTCCAGGGTTCGATCACCGGCCGACGAACTCCTTTACCTCGCTAAGCCAGAAATAATGCTGGTAAAGAGGAAATGTTGGGCATGAGGCTAGCAACCCCATCCTGTAAAAATAAAAACACCGCTAAAGAAACTTCAAGTCACTAGCTTGGATCCCTATGTTCCAGTGGGGAACATGAAGAAAAAAAATAACCTGATGATGAAGTTATCGAAAAGAATATTCTTTGTTCACCAATCAATCGTTTGAGACTTAGTCGCCTTGATATTTAACTTGAAGACAGTGTTGTACAGATAGCATATTTTCTAGGTAACAGATGAATCATATTTACAATCTGTCGCAAAGATTACAAACCTTGTCAGCTGAAGCCTTGGCAATGGTATTCTTTCTTTATATTCCATTTTCTCTGTATTTGTACTTGCGTTTGAGCATTTCTGAACAGCTTGAACCCCAGTTGAAACTTTCTTTGCAGTGGAATCAATTTGTATCCTTTTAGTATATGCAGAAAGAGAAATTTCAGAGTTACAAACTAGTAAAAATCAAAATTTTACATGATTTAGAAAATGACCAAGGTGGCAAACAAACCCCTTGCCTCCTTAACCAATCTTATTACTGGTTTAGAGAGTTAAAGAAATGCGTTGGCCAGGGATCGAACCCCGGACCACATGCGCGTAGTCGGCGAGCATTCTACCGCTTTACCGCCAACGCACAAGAAGTAACTGAAGATATCCACACTGTTGCCACATAGGGAAGGGATGTCGGAAATCCAACGCATGACTGGCATTGTAACCAACATGCCTACTTAGAGACAAGGTGCTTTATAGGTTAAAAGACTCTATCGATTTGATTAGATAAAAATAACTTTTCTATAAAAGTGTCTATGACATCGACTACGTAGATCAGTCCAACAGGTAAGGGTTAGTCAGGTCATCGGAATCATAGGAATGATTGACCTTGAAAAGATAACCAACCTACCTACCAAAACCTCATTAATTACAAGGTGCACACACAGTCGCACAATAGTTTGTTACATATCTAAAGTTCCAATAGGTAATAGAGTTAATTAGTTTGAGGAGCTGGTCACTGAATCTTTGTTCACACCGCATCTGCATCAGAAATGAAATGCAGTATCCACAATAAAGATATGTAGGACATTATTAACAAGAAAATGAAATCATAGGAAACTGTGGATTATATATATATTTTTAAAAATCTGAAAGTTCTATGAGTATGCTTATGTGATTTGGAGTAATAAACTGAGCTGGAAACATCATCAGTAAGACACTTTATCACTATGTGTTTTGTGTATCAAATAAAATTATTCTTTGATGGAAGCACACAACCTCTTGTCATTTAATGTTTCGACCAGATGTGTTTATATGTCGATACACCTAATTTAATGGTGACGTAATTCTGTTAAAAATCAAACTTTGCTGTAAAGCACTGTAAGACACACTCATCGCATAATATACTTATCCTCAACATATATTTTAGAGTGTGTGTGTGTGTGTGAATGCACTGAGATAAGCCTAGACTGTCGTCTTTCTTACACAGCTTTCACTTCTTTTCTCTGTACTCTCAGGAATAAGCTTCGTTATCCCAGAATCGTAATAACTATCTAGACTAGTAGCATCCCTCGTAGAAGGTGATGACTTAAGAACAGATCCGACAGCATGAACAAAAAACCTGCAGAATCAAACGACTAGTTATCCAGTAACTCTTGGGTTCCAGTAATCCTCTGTAATGACGACAACAAATATGGGTTGCAATCTGAGATGAGTGAATTGGTAGAAAAACACATTTTTCTAGAAATTTTGCAGCAATTTTATTCTGTCACCGGTAGAAAAACCAGTTTTGTGCGCTTTCAAAAAAATGCTCTCTGCGATTCAAACCCGCATAACCCCGTTGCTGAAGTCAGAGACGTCACAATTGACTCATAACATTGGATACTCCCTGATGACAGTTAGTTGTTAGTTACAGCAAAAGGTCTTTAGCTACACTGTTTCTGAGTTATCCAATAACTTTAAGGTGTCAATGAGATTGTGAAGGCTGAATTTACCAGTTCTTAAGTGAAATTAGTTTTATTTTTGTGTTTGTCCAAATGTTTCTTGATATACAAGCAAACTTCGTTAGTTTCGGGATTTCATCATAAGCTAACATTAGTTAGAGAACCATTGGAAAACCTGGGAGTACTGGACAGCTGTCTCGTCCTGGTTGGAGACTCTTCAGCAGTACGCACCCACTGGGATTTAAACGCAGGACCTTCTGGTTACAAGGCGAGCTCGTATACCATTAAGCCACTGGGACCCGATCCAATGGTCCTTGAATTCTAACTTCTGCCAATTCACGATTGTGTCTAGGACTGTCAACACATTAAGTTTATAAGTTAGTATTAACACTCTGTAAATAAATTGCACAGAGTTTAACGAAGATATTTTTATTTACTTCAGCTTGTCCAATTCCTCTTAAAGTCGGTTATACTCATTTTGTAAATTCTCTCTTGATAATTTCACAGTTTCTAATTCATTGCACAATGTTCTGTTTTTCGATTCAACTGAATCAAGCTTCTGTTTCAATGATTTGTTTTCATCATTTCTCTGAAAGTAGTTAGTGATCGAAAATTTTGAAATTAATATAGCCCAGTATTCATATTACTCATTTGTATAAAGGATAGCACAGCATATACACCTTTAATAATTAACAGATTGATTCCAAACGCTACTTTTGATTTTAAAAAATGAAATTTTAAGCGTGTAATTAATCCTAACCGTCTTCAGCTATTCAAGGATTGACTTATTACCACCAGGTGATAATCTTGTTGACTTGCAATATCTGTCTGTCTGTCTGAATTTAACATAGAACTTGGCACCGAAGTGCAACAGTTCGACTTGACACGTTCCAAATATCACACAAAGGTAGACAAGAAGATGAGTGAAGAGAATCAATAGAGTATGACAAGTATAAAAGTGAAACAGAATGAATAATGGTAGAAAGGAATATGAAAGATTACAGAGATTGAATACATCTGCTGAAGCCATTGACAACGATTTTGAGCCATGTCACCTATTGTCTCCAGCCATTGATTCCTAGAGTCCTGAGGGCCCCAACCCGGAAGTCTGCATCTCCCTACCTGACTTAGCTTAACTGTCAAGGATTTATTTCATGGATTGATGACATGTTTTTGTTTGGCCACCACTTACCCTTTTCCAACCTGCACCTATGTCAGCTAGTAATGCCCGTCGGGGGAGGCGATGGTTAGGCATGCACACCACGTGACCTAGCCGTCTCAATCTATGTAACTTTAAAGCCTCGTCGATTGATTTTCCCTCTTTCCCCAACACTCTACGCCTAACGTCAACATTACTTACCTTATTATACCACCTAACGTGAGAAAGAGATCGCAGACATCTATGATCGAAAACAGTCAACCTTTTCATGTCTTCAACTCGTATTGGCCATGTTTCAGAGCCATAGAGAAGGACGGAGCGAACTGCTGAGCAGTACACACGTCCCTTGGTTGATAACTGGATGTCACGCCTACGCCAGAGATGGTGTAAGTTAGCGAAAGCAGCTCGAGCTTTTCGGATCCGTGCTGAGATTTCGTGGTCAATCAGTCGGTTGGTGCTGATACAACTTCCCAAATAGGTGAAGTGGTCAACATGTTCTATCACTTCACTCCGTATCACTAAGCTAGGAGTTGACGTAGTCCAGTCCTGTAGCAGCATATTACATTTTGTAGGGGCGAATCGCATGCCATACTTGAAATATGCAGATGATATAGTCCTCCCCACTTTGTGGGGGAAACGCTGACAAAAAGGCAGAGTCTTCTGAACACCTTGAAGAGCAGCAATCATCGAATGTTTGGCATGAGATTCGTTCGTCCTGTCAAATGTAAGATGGCGCTACAGGGCTGCACTACATAGACTGCTAGCTTTGAAATCGAAAGTGAAGAGGTAGAGCGTGTCGACCGCTTCACTTATATGAGGAGTTGCATCAGCTAGAGTCAACAGGTAGATCGCTGACGAAATCTCAGCACAGATACAGAAGGCTAGTATCGCATATGCCAGTTTACGCCGCCTATGGCTTAGTAGACGTGATGTCCGGCTGGCTGAATGGCTGGCTAGCTGTCGACCAAGAGACGTGTGTACTGCTCAGAAGAAGTTCGCTCTGTCCTCCTTTATGGTTGACTGTGAGTCACTAGTGACCATTCAGAGTGGAAGACATGAAAAGCCTAGCTAGCTGTCTCCGATCATAGGTGTCTGAGTTCTCTCTCCCGTGTTAGTTGATAGCGGTAATAGAATGAGTAATATTGAGGTTAGGCATCAGTGGAGTGCTAGGTGAGGAGGGGAAATCAACAACAGACGAGGTTGTAAAATTACACTGATTGAGGTGGTTAGAACACGTGTTACGGATGCATTCCTAGCCATCCATTGACTTCCTAGACTACGCTCAATGTTAGCTGATATGGGATCGATGAGGTTGGAAAAGCGCTAGCACGTGGTGGACAAGCTACAACATGGCTCCGTCAGTCAGTGAGATTCACAACAGTTAGTTTAAGCCATGCATATAGGAAGATGTAGACCTCGTGGTTGGTGTCCTCGGGACGGTAAACACCGATGTCTGGAGACAATTATTAATATGGTTCGAAATCTGTTTTTACTTTCTTCTCTTGCTTTTTGTGTCCTTAGTGAAGTGGGCGACTCGAACTTCTGCACATCGGTGCAAAGTTCTATGTTGAAACCAGTCAGTCAGTCAAACGTACATATGTATTATAACATAGATAGTCATTACCTCTTTGTAGTCTACTTGTGGTTTCGTAAATGGTTACTTAGTTCATCTTTTTTATTTTTGAACATTTCTATCACTGTAACTAGTTTCACACATATTATGTCTAATAATTTCAGAAGGTTTGACAATAACAACACCATGCCAAGATTAATTGCGGAAATGCACAGATAGATAGAGTCGCCCCTCAGTGTCACACAGAAATAGGTCGTATTGGTTTAAATTCCTAACCAATTTAATAGTACACATATAGTCAATGACTTAGGGACTTAGATGCCCTTTAAACTTCCTGCTTTTCCTTCCGGTTCCTAGAGAAAAATAGTGTTTAAAGCTATTAGGTTTATCTGACTGTAGAGTTGTTTTTTTCTGGCGAGGCGTTGCAATCCTCATATCCAACTTTCATGTCACATTTCCAGGAATACTGCCGACAAGCAAACTACTCGAGGTTTAGGAGTGCGTCGATCGAGGATTGAACCTTGACCACCCGCATGACTGGCCGCCATTTTAGCTTTAAACTTTAGCCGTCACAAAATCCTTTAGAAAAGGCGTTTATTTGATGCAGAAATATGTGCAACTTACTCCATTATGGATAATATTTTTATTTTGATAGGTCACACGGTGTTACACAGTAATATTAACTGATGACGTCTGTAACACTGTGTGACTTAGCAAAATAAAATCTTATCCATAATGGAGTTATACTGCACCCCAGTGCCCAAGTTTTATACTTATATCTCAATGTTCAACTTACGTTTGTTGAAACTTCTGTAAGTTTGAATTCTTGATCTTTGTACTCCTTCTCTAATCTCTCAATAGTTTTGCATGCTTCTTTCCATTTGTTTTCCATATGATACAGTGACTCATTTAAATCATTTGTTCTATTTTTCAATTCTAATTCATGCTCCATTTGTATACGCGTTGCATCTATTGCTGCTCTACGTAATGCATCAGATCGAGCAGCTAATTCACCTTCAAGACGATTCACAGTCTCTTGTAATTGAGCTCTCTCAGTCTGTTTGTTTTTGAAATACCAGGAATGATACAAATACGGTGAATGGCAAAGCATAAACTTTACTAGATTTTCTAAACATAACCTAAATAGGGAAGAATTGGCAGTAGGCACCCACCAAAGGGGTTCGAATCCAGGACCTACCGTTTGCAGGGTCACAACTTCGCACTAGAGGTCCATCCAGTCGAGTGTGAAGATGGATTTCCCAACCACGACACTGGTCGGTAGTCGCCCTAAATCACGAATTGGTAGAAGTTGGAATTCGTGGGCCGTCGAATCGGGTTCCAGTGGCTGAATAGTATGCGAGCTTGCCTTGTAACCGGAAGGTCGTGGGTTCGAACGTGACTGGGTGTGTACTGCCGATGATTATCAAACTAGGATTAGACAGCTATCCAGTACACCCTGTTGGTTTTCGATGGTTCTCTAACTGATATCAACCGGTGGTCAAACTCGAAAAACCAGATATAATCCTTACAAACCAACTATTGAAAATAACCTAAATTCATTATAACCAGCGTTTACTGCCCATCAAATTCAGTACTTGAAGGCACTATTATCCTCTCTGAGTCTTTGGAAATTGTTTGCATTAGAAAATCTTATTGAGAAGGGTGATTAAATGAGAAAGGTACTGAGAATAGTGAAAGGCGAAACTGCTTTTTAATCACATTTTATAGAATGTAAGCAATATGCGTCACTAAAAAATGACTTTGAAAATCACTTTAGCAACTGTAAACTAGTGTTCACAGTGTCTGCAAATGATATTACTGAATATGTTTCGAAAAACAAACAATAATTTGTTGTCGTCACATATCTGAAACTTCAGTAGTTCTTATATGCTGTCTGTCCGTATCTACTCAAAGTCCTAAAAGTTTTTAAAATCCCTGTTTATATTTGCAACCTTCTTCTTATTGATTTCTTCTGAAAAAGTATGAAAATCATGATGTTGAATGTGATTCTCTTGTGTAACTAGTGGAACGCAGAGCTTCAAGCAAGAGCTTTGGAGTTTCGGCAGCATTAGTGTTTATTTTCTACGGGATGGGGTTGCCTCATGCCCAATTTTCATCTTTACCAGTCTTATCACTGGCTTTGTGAAGTATAGGAGTGCCTCGTCGGTGGCCAGGGATTGAACCACAGACAACATGCATAGTTTGCGAGCATCCTACCACCGTCCCACAAATGCACTAATGTTGAAAGTAGGCCACTAAAAGTAAATATATAGTTCACGTAAATTTAACGAAGGCTATAAAATGATACTGGCGAGAATTTTTAGATTAGATGGTAACAGCTACACCTAGTTAATAATTCCAGTTGAGTAAGTGCTGTTCTGTTAGTTATTAGGACAGTCAAGGCCCTCAACTGAACTGCAATCGCTTATTTCATGAATAATCCCTATCCAAGCATTAATGAAAATAAAACACACATAGTTCAGCGAAGAGTCCTTTTTCGGCAAGTTCATTTTCTTAGCTGCACAATCGCAAATATATATATATATATGAGTTAAAAATGTCAGAAACACTGTTAGGTAACTCCTTTTCACCAACCGTTTGTGACATCTCATCACCTACCTTTGTTACTACACTAGTTTCATTAACAACCAATTTTCTTGACCGTTTCTGTAATACATAAGTCTACCCAAAACTTACCGGTTTCCACCTGCTTAGTTAAAATAACCATAACCAATAGTAATTTTGCTTGATAAACTTAATGCGTACATACATGCATACATACATACACACACACACATACATACATACATACATACATACACACATACATACATACACATACATACATACATACATACATACAAAATAACTTTTATATATATATATATATTTGCGATCGTAAATCTAAGCAAATGAATTCGCCGAAAAGAGACTCTTCGCTGATCTACGTGTTTTGTTTTCATTAATCCCTTATTTATCAATGTAAAATAATTATACTATTTCCATATTAGATTGTTTATTAGATATATCACACACTGTGAGTGAAACAGTATTATTTACTGGATGACGCCTCGAACACTGTTTATCGTTCATAATCACATCAATTATATTTAATCAATTTTATGCCTTACTTTCTGTCTTGGAGAAGCTTTGAAACTTCTCAATTACCCTGATATATTAATCCGGAAGCATGTAGGAAAATATAAAAATAAAATTAATAATAATAGTAATAATACTGATAGGGGTAATAATAATAATGACATGCATGGTAAAAATGCACAGAGTAATGACAACACCAACAATAGGGAATATAAATTATTACTAGTACTTACATACACGTAAGGAACATCGATAACCTTACCTTACGCAGAATTCTTAACAATGCTGGCAGGAATAAAAGTGGTTGCTGGCATTCAAACCACCCAGCCACAAACTCAATTAGAAACAAGCTTTATCGGTTAAAGGATCAATCCTGACAGTGGAGCCTTTATTAAAACAAAACAATTTAGTTTATCTAATACCCTGCCTGACTGACTGCAATGATTGTCAGGTCAAATACACAGATGGGTCAAACTAGTAGAGCAGGGTCGGTCAGTGAGACAGACTAGTCAAGCATAAACACCTAGCAGCGAAATCTAGATTGGTTGACCCGAATAAGGTAAGAAATCTAGAGAATAGTTCAGTCGTAGATAACACTCACTGCATGCAACTACATGCCCACAATCATACGATAGGATGGATGGGATAGGATGACACAGGGTGGAGACAGCAGGATTGATAAGGGAAGCTTTGTTTATCGAGAGAGTGTGTGTGTGAGAGAGAAAACACGTGTAACAGAGTATGAACCAACACCTGTTCATCCGGGATTCTGCAAAAGTCTACTACCCCTACGACGACACACCTATACTAATAAGTCTGTTAGTCAATTTCAAAGGAAGACCTCAGCATAGATGACTTCGTTATTTTTTGAGAATAAATCACTAAAGCCGTACACTGCTGATATCTTTATTTTATGTATTATTAATGACCGACAGGTTAGACAACAAGAATACATGAGAATTATTCAAAGTGCTGAACTAGTGGAACGCTATTATTTTCTTTATAATTCAGAAAGTAACAAAAATAAATGATGGTGTCTGTGATAAGTTTATCCATTGTGCAATAGACAAATTAGTCATGATTGTGTATTTCAATGGTTGTTTACAAAAGTGATAAGTTTTTTTGTTTTGATTTTGTTAATATTTGGAGTAAAAGTGATGCGACAACACAAGGTGTCTAAAAGGTGACTCACCCCTAGGCAGGCGTCGGTGGCATAGCGGTTAGGACGCTCGTCGAACATGCACATGGTCCGGGGTTCAATCACCGGCCGACTCACTCCTTTACCTCGTTAAGCCAGAAATAATGTGCTGGTAAAGAAGAAATGTTGGGCATGAGGCTAGCAACCCCATCCTGTAAAAATTAAACACCACTGCTACGGAAATTTCAAGCCACTAGCTTGAGGCCCTATGTCCCACTGGGAACGTAAAGGAAAAAAAACACAAGGGGGTATTTTTGCTCGAAGCATTAACAAAATCGTCAAAACTTATCATCATCGCGTTTTAATAACCATTGAAGTATTTTTTATTTCCTTCACGTTCCTCAGTGGAACATAGGGCTTCCAGCAGCTAGTGACTTGAAGTTTTTGTAGAAGTGGTGATTATTTTTACAGGATGGGGTTGCTAGACAGCCTCATGCCTAACCTTTCCTCTTTACCAGCATTATTTCTGGCTTGGCGAGGGGTAAAGGAGTGCCTCGTCGGTGGCCGGGGATCGAACTCTGGACCATGTGCATGGTCGGCGAGCGTCCTAACCGCTATGCCACCGACGCACACCATTGAAGTATAAGAGCACAATTAATTAACA